AGCCCGCACACTCGGCGAGGCGGCGGGGCCGTGCGCGGTCCTCCCCGCCGTAGTCCGCCCGCGGGCCGCTCGGAGTTGGACTTCTTGGACTTTGGGGGGCGGAGGGGCGCAGGAGGGCTGCCGGCAGCGGGGAGCGTTGGCGGCAAAGGGGCTTCGCGCGCGTCGGCGGAGGAGCCCCGCACGGAGTCGCTAGCGGCCCGGGGCTCTTGGCCCCGCTCCGCCTGGCTCGGCCCGCGGGCGGTGGCGCCTCCCTCCGGCTGCTGGGGGCTCGGAGCGGCCAGGCTGCACCTGATGGCGACCTGACTGGGGCTCTAGGGACAAGGGACAGGTGTCAGCGCTGGGCCTCCTGCCGCGCCCCCGCAGAAGCGCAGCCAGGGAGCGCAGTGTAGCGGGGACTCGCCCGCGTCCCTGCCACCTGCCGGACATCGCCCACTCCCCGGATGTCCTGTCTCCGGGCTGACCCTCCTCCAGGACGCACTGTGGCGAAGGCGGTCTGCGCTCCGGGAGTTGCCATGGGGGCAGGCCCGGTGTGAGGGGGAGGCTGGCAGGGGTCAGATCGGGTGAAAGTTCCTGGCCCTCTGAGAGACTGAAGGCTGAACTGAGGCCAGGCGGACTGGGGTCTTTGCCAACTGCCCACCGCAGGGGCCAAGGGCAAGGGACGTGAAGGAGAGCCCCCCTAGCTGTGCAGGAGTCGTTTTCCCCTCCCTATTGAGGTCCCTCAAAGATCCCAAGGGTTGAGGGGCTGGACCTCAGAACTGGGCAGCTGATGGCCTGGAAGATTGGGAGTTAATGATGGTGTGACTCTCATTATTACTGTTCTCAATTCTGTTACTATTGGCATGAATGCTAAGAATGATCTTGTCTTCGAGGGTGATAGGTCACCTGGAAACTGAATCCTTGCCCCCGAGTTTAAGAACTTATCCAGATTCTCTGGATAAGATAGATTCACCCTCTGATGAGTTTTTCCATCAAAGGAAATTGCCCCTGGCAGCTGGTCTGTCAGGGACACAACCAAAGAATGGAATCGACCCAGGAACAACAGAAAGCCTCAACTGCCTAGTCAACTTGTGCCAGGGCCCCATTCTGCGGAAAGACTGTATTTCTGTCCATTGACCTGCCTGGTGCTGATTTGCATCAGAGTCTGGAGAGGCAACACTGTTCTACACTTCCCTCCTTTGTATATATATTTCTAGCCTGAAGGGAGCTCTTTCCCTCTTATGGGCTAGTGTGACCTTTGCTCCCCTCCCCTCCAGTGTGTTGCATGGCTCTGGAGATCTCCAGGCTCCACGTGGGGTTGGGAAGCCCGCCCAGGGCACCTGAAGCTTGCCCTCTTGATTTGGCCTGGATAGGCGTGCTCCAGGGCACAAGCTTGGCGGCTCCTTGCATGAAGAGGTCAAGTAGAAAGGGAGAGCTGTGGGTCCAAGGATTTAGAGTTAAGCTGAGTGCAGGGGATGAAGTCAGGTCTCTCTGCTAGCCAGATCCCTTCTTGCCAAACAAGGAAAAAAAGAGACAAATGAAGAGCGAGTGGGAAGTAGAAGTTGGACCCAATCTCTCACTCTGCTTAGGTTGTTGCTGCTGCCTGACTTTGGTGTGACCTTGCTTGCAAGTACTTCTGATTTGCAAATGCAGGAGAAGAAGGCCTGCCTTTCTAATTGGACAGTTGTAGGCGATGATCTAATTTTGTCTCCAAAAAGAAACACACACTTGGGAGCTTCCTGGGAAAGGGCAGTCACTAAAATACGCAGCTTTCTTTGCGTTCTGTGTGAAGTTGGCTATGTGCAGCAGGTTAAGGAGCGACATTTTTAACCCAGGTGCCATGTGGCAGTGTAAAATTAAAATGGAAAGTACAGACGTAAAAATGACTTAGCATTCTTGACATTCTTGGGCATAGTTGTAGAAAAATTATCTTTCATTTGGGGCAAGTTGCCTGGGAATTTAATCAGTGTTTATACTGCAGAAACGCCGCCCCCCCACCCCCCTTCCTGGCCCCTGTAAAATTTTATGACCCAGTTCTCACCAGAGAGGCAGTGTGAGTATAGTAAGTGCTAGGGGCCAGAGGCGCTGCTGGGGAATCATCACATAAGGTTTGTAGACTGGAATAAGAAGCAAGAGCTTCCTCTCAGAAGAGAGGAATGTTCAGAAAGGGCGATTGAGCAGAGCGGGGAAAGGGTCCCTGGGCGGGGGGGGGGGGGAGTCAGCCCCGTGATTCTGGAAAAGCAGTCCATGGCATGGTCTAGAGCTTGCCAACATGTAGGTGCCCCTTACCTGTGGACAAATGTCAGATCCTCTCTCCTTGTCAACTGTCAATGCATTCATTCCTCCTAGCTAGTCCTGAGACACAGATGTACCCACTCAACCCCTGGTATTTTTGTAAATATCTCCCCAATTCTAGAGATTCTCAAAGAGCTGCAGCTGCTGGTGAACTTGGTAAATGGTTGGAAGTAATCAAGAGAGCCATTGAAAAGTGGGTATGTTTTCCCCTGGTGGAGAAGTTCTTGAATGCCTTTTGAGTTCGAAAATGAGCAGTTTGGGAAAGCGGGAGTCCGTTGACTTCCCGGAGCGCCCCATAAACCCGTGCTTGTGTTTTTCTGCCCCTCATAGTAGGGAGCACTGTTTGGTTCAGCATTTTTTTTTCTCCCCAGTGTTGGATTTAAGATGGGACTCTGCCTGGTGGCATTCTATGGAGAGAGGAAAAATGTAAAATGATACGGAAGGAAGAGCTGTAGTGGCTAGAACATAAATCAGCCGGAGTATATGGGGGAATGATGAGAATAGGTCTTTTCACCCTAAAAAAAATGTCCACTTTGGAAGAAAAAGAACCCTGATTATTGGCATCCAGGGCTGAAACCAAGGCAGCTGATGCCGCCAGGAGCCAACGGGCAGTTCTTCTTAGTTTAGAAACAGCGAGATAGGCTCTGCCAAAGACTGCTGTAAACACGGAATAAAGATTTCATTGTGGGCTGGTGTGACTGGAATAATTAGGCAGTTAATTGTTCATTCGGATCTGCTGGTGCCGCAGTCCTAGTGCAGAGAGCAGCGAAAAGGCAAGCTGAGGAGAAAGAGAAAAGTAACATTTGTCACTTTTATCCGCACGTGTTTCACTTTGATAGTACTTTGGAAAATCTTGGTTTGTTTGGTTTTTAGGAAAGCACTCACAAAATAACAAAATTCTAGAAACAAAAGACATATACTGGAGTGCTGGGGAACTGACCCACACTGCTGACCTTTCCAGCATCAAGGTTCTCCTCTGGACAAAATGTCACATCTGCTAAAATCAGTATGGGAAACGCTATTGAGGATGAGAGTGTTAGCTGATGTCCCGTGCTGCTGTTCTCGTGTGTCGTAGAGTCAGAACCGACTCATAGCTGACCCTCCAGTAGGTTTGAGAAGCAGTAAACCACACAGGAGGAAATTATTTGTTTTCCCTGGGAGCAACAGCTGGGGGATTCGAACCCTGTGCTTTGGGATTTATAGTGCAGTTTCTTACCAGTAGGCCACCAGAGCTCCTTATTCATTAGTATTGTTGTTGTGTAACCTCAAGTCTGAATCAACCCATAGCTGACCCTCCGGCAGGTTTTTAGAGGCAGTTAATCTCATGGGAGGAGAGAGCCCATCCTTCTCCCGTGGAGCAGCTGGTGGATTCAAACCCCATGCTAAAACCATACTCACCACTGTCAAGGTGATTCCAGCGCATGGTGACACTCTCTGATTTCTTGCTAGGTTGTCTGTCTTTAGGAGAGGAGACTACCTAGCTCAGCTGTGGATCGACATTGGCTTTGAACCACCCACCTTGATGAAGTGGAGTGACAGTGACTGTAGAAATGGGCTCAAGTATGTCCGAGATGTTGAGGATGTCACAGGATAGGAAAGCGTTCAGACCTGTTCTTCCTTGGGTTGCTGTGGGCCATCTCCAGAGCACCTGATGACAATAACAACCTCTAAACAGCGACGGCAGTGGGTTTGAACCTGAGGAGGTTCTGAGGACGGTGCAGCAGAGGGCAGGGTTTCAATCTCTTGTTCATTGATAGGATCTCTGAGAGTTGTAGTCAACTCAAGGGCACCTAACACTCACATAGCAGCACTTTCAGGATGGCAGCCTGGCAAGTGACCCCCATCCCTTTGTTGTTGTGTACTATGGACTCAATACCAACTCAGCTGACCCTGCGTTGGGTCTTCAGAGGCAGTAAATCTCACAGGAGGAGATTGCCCACCCTCTCCCACAGATCAGCTGGTGGACTTGAACCACATGCCTTTGGGCTTGTGGTACAGCTTCTTGCCTCTAGGCCACCAGAGCTCCCATGCCTTTAGGTCGATGTTAATTTTTATGTGTTATGTTAGCTCCAGTTTCCAGCAGAACAGAATCAAACTGCCTGGTCTTGTACCATCCTCACCAGCTCTGCTCTGCTTACATCCACTTCTGTGGCCCTGGTGCCAGGACATCTGGTTGAGGGTCTTCCTCTTACACTGCCACACTGTCTACTGTACTAGGCCCAGTGTCTGCTCAGCCAGAAGGGATCATGTCTGGTGACCAAATCGAGCTTATTAAACTTACCGGAGCTTACTTATGCCACACTGAA